TCTATATTCATGAATTGAAAGTACCGCTGCAAATAAGCCAATTTCAGTAAAAGTCCCGCTACAATTAGCAATTCAGATATATATATATATATATATATATATATATATATATATATATATATATATATATATATATATATATATATATATATATATATATGATGCTAATCTTCCCCAAAATCACTGACCGATGTCTGTCTATCACTATTTAAATTAAATCATTGACTCAGTCCATCTATAAGGTAATTAATATGGAATCACAAACGAATAAATGAGTAATATATAGACAAACAATTTTTATAGATAAGTTGGAAAAATAAGACCAAAATTTCTAGGTACGTTCTAGCAAAAAAAGAAAAGGTCTCTTGACAAAACCCACGAGCTAGGGTTAAGAATAGCAGCAACTAGGTAGTTGACATTTTATTTTAAAACAATTAATTATATATTTAAATTCATTTAAATTAGCTATTGTTAGCCACCTTCTTATATTGTCTATAAAAGGAAGCCTCCTAATACTCATATTTGTGTACCTTAAACATTGCTTTCATCATTCAATAGTTTGCTACTTTTATCACATAATTATCGATTTTCTTGTCACGAAAATGAAAACTTTACTAGTGTTTGTGCTCGTTTTTCTGTCTCTTACCATGGTTTATGGAGCTGGTAAGGCTCCGGTTAAACCCGGTTTGAGATTGGACTTTTACAAAAGTACTCGTTGTCCACAAGCCGAGCAGCTTGTGAAACAAGTTACTGAAGCTAGAGTCCGTAGAGACGCTACCTTGGGTGCTAAGCTTATTCGCTTGCATTACCATGATTGTTTCGTTAAGGTATATATACATATATATAAATTTCACATGCAATAACCATATTTTCGAGCATAATGTCTTAATTGTTTCTTAGCATTTCTATTTTATTTTTAAAATATACGTTAAATTTGATTCTATAAAACAATGTCAGAGCCAGCATAAGGCGCCATATCATAATCCGATGGCGGCCTTCCATTGATTTAAAAGATTAATTATTTTATATATGAATTTGTAAGTATTATATATTGTCAACCCTCGTAGAATTTTTTTAATGAATATAATTTGTACCCAAATATTACATAATTCTTGCTCAACTAGTTCAAGATTGACAATATATATATGTAATGTACTTATAATTAAATAAATTGGATAGGGATGCGACGCATCGATACTTTTGGACACGGTAGGTACGACTCAATCGGAAAAGGATGCAAGGCCAAATCTGTCATTGGGCGGGTTCGACGTTATCGATGAAATCAAGACGCGCGTCGAAAATGTTTGCCCCGGAATTGTTTCTTGTGCTGATATTCTTGCACTCGCTGCCCGTGATGCTGTTTCTCTTCCTGTAATTAAATTAAATTATATCACTTCTTTTTTTTACTAAATATATTTTAATTAATTAATTAACTAATTTATGATTATATAAATGTTTTAACATTTTGTAATTGGCATGTACAGTTCAATAGGCCGATGTGGAATGTGCTGACCGGAAGAAAAGACGGCCGGGTTTCTCTGTTGTCGGATGTCACCGGCAACTTACCTTCTCCGTTTTCGAATTTTGCGACGCTTCAGAATCTGTTTTCGAATAAAAATTTAGACATCAATGATCTCGTTGCATTATCAGGTAATTAATGGGTAAATTACAACCATTCCTGAGGTATGGTTAAATTACGAAAACCCTTCTTCTGTTTGGGTAATTAATTACAAACACTCCCTCAACTATAAATCTTCTTACACGTTCACCCTTGCGGTTTCAAATTTAGTGGAATCTTCTTGATTATATGGAATATTATCACTTGTGTACCCGTTTTATCCCATTTGAACTCCACATTTTAAAGCAACATGATCATAATATGTGTTTTTTGGCTTGTATATATATATATATATATATATATATCAGATTGTGGTGCATCAGAAACTGTATTTTTACACAAAACGAGTGCAAACTAGAGCACATTCCACCAAATCTAGATGATTATGTTGAATTTGACACCATAAGGGTGGATGTGTAAGAGAAAAAAAAATAGTTGAGGAGGTAAATGTAATTATCCAAACAAGATAGGTTTTTTTCGTAAAAATTGACCATATCTCATGGGTGGTTGTAATTTATCCGGTAATTAATTAATAAATATATTTTCACTAAATTATATATGCTAAAAAAAAAATA